GGGGGCACGCATTTTAGTCTACTGACAACACAACAAGACATTGTTCTTGAGGTACCTAGAAAGAAGAACCACCGATTTGTTAGTCATACGTGATTCTTCATATATCTGTTTGTTTTTTGTTTCATTAATTGTTTTATTTCGGGGTTATTTTCTGTTTGCTGTTGCTTTTGATTTTGAGAACATGTGTTGTAGTTCAGCGACAACACAAGAAGACGCGCTGTTTTGGGGCATTTGAAAGAAGAAGCATAACTTGTTTACTCGTACATTTCTGTTTTGTTTTGTTTGTTTGTTTCTCCATTCACCTCCTTTCCTGCTCTCTTACAATGTCCTGTCGTCTCCTCTTTCTGCCCCCACCCCCTCCCCTCCTTTGTCCCCATCTCTGGGCTTGTGACTTTGCAGCCTTTCTACTGCTGCTCTTTGGCTCCTTCTTACTGCTGTCTTTCAGCCACACCCCTGGTCTAATGGTAGGAAAGTTCTACCCTTAACCTTTTCGGATAAGGGCGAAAAATCTCGGAGGTCCCGTGTGCAAGCTGTGCATGTTAAAGATCCTGTGGTGGTCCAAAATCGATAAGAGTAGGCTTCGGCCACCACCCAGGCAACATTCAAAATTTCCTACCAACTGAAAATGCTTAATGTGTCCCGCGCGCTCATAATATGAAGGTGCAGTTGCGTGCGCCGTAAAACACCTACTTACCAAAAAATTTAAAAAACTTACTATAGCTAGCCTAAAGAGCCTTTTGTATAGACGGTGCTTCCACTCCTAGGGGTTTCTTTTCTTTTTACTATCATGGAGAGCTGAAACGATTTTTTTAAACCCTAGTGAACAATTCGCCAGTTTAAAAAAAAAAAAAAGAAAACAATTTTCGTTTGAGTTGGGGAAATTTTTTACACACTTCTTTGTGAATATCGTAGTATTTATTTAAACCCTTCTCTCCTTTTCGTTTAAATTGAATTTTTTTTTTTTGGCAGAGACTTTATTTGAAAAAGAACGGTATATTCCTATTATCGGTTTAGATATTTAAACACAGGTTTACTTAAAATAATCATTGTACGATCGAAATTGTCCAAGACGACCTCCCATTATTGAAAAGAAAACTGGTTGTCTTGGACAGGTGGGCGTCTTACAAAGTATCATTTAAATCAGACCTGCAAGCGGAGAAATAGGAAGTGGCCGTTTGTTCAGGTGATTGTCTTATTATACATGATGTGTGACCTATAGAGCAGGTGCGACTGCAAGTTTTTAAAAATACACCAACAACAGCAAGGGTAAACGAGGGGCGTGCAGACAAAATGAGTTACTTCTCGCAATCTACAAATGAAGGTATTGGCCAAAAATCGACTCTGGGGTCAAATTTGTAGATTTTTCTATTGATGCTATATTCTTTAAATATAACATACCTTTTATTATTTCGTACTTATAAATTGTAAAAACTTTACCTATAAGCGTGATGTACCTATTTCCTTACGGCCTGAATCTGAGAAGTAACTCATTTTGTCACCACTTTTCACAAATTGTTGACCGGTCTTGCCTGTATTTTACTCACGATATAGGTTTTGTTTGTTCCCCCAGAATTCTCAGGTGTCATAGGATAACTACATCAGGAAGAATGGAGAGAAACAGCTACCTGTTGGATCTGGCCCTGGTGTTGTGGGCTCTGGTTGGTGAGTACAATCTTGTCTGTCTGCCTGTCTGTTTGTCTGTTTGCCTGTCTGTATTTCAGGTTGTCCGTCTGTGTCTCTGTCTGTCTATCTGTCTATTTGTCCGTCCATTTGTCTGTCTGTCAGTCTCCCCGTGTGTCTGTCTCTTTGCCGGAGTGTATTTGTGTTTTCGTGCATGTGTGTAGGTGTGGGTGGTAGGGGGGGGGGAAGAGGTGTGCTTCTGTGTGTGTATGCATGCATGTGTGTTTGTTTACGTTTGTACCTGTGTGTGTGTGTGTTTGTTTGTGTGTGTGTGTGAGTAAGACGAGTTGAAAAGTAGTTGTATGGTTTACAATCCCCCCCCCCCCCTCCCCTCCCACCTTTCTTTTCCGTTTCTTCCTCGCCTTTTTTCTCCTTTTGGACCGAATTCCCCAAATTCCCGAAAGTACAATCCAGAGAGCTGCGAAATAATGTCTCGCTGTCTCTGTGCTTCTGTGAATAGTGTTTTCAACAGGCTCACTTGCGTCTGAGTGTGTATGTGTGTCTGTATGCCTGTGCGTGTGTGTGTGTGTGTGTGTG